CGTCTCCTGCAAAATCTGCATCTGAAAAACAAATACACTCTCATTTTGGCATTATATCATTAAATGAAATCCCTTCGTTAAGACCCTTAGGAATACAAAGATACATACCACTTGGGTTAAGTTAGGTAACACAATTTTGTTTTATTTTTTAAGAGTAGTTGCACTACAATCATTTTTCAAAGCAATATATATATTATCTTTGTAGTTGGCGTAATTTAAAGATTTCATATATTTTTTTGAAACAACATATCACTTAGGTTGAGTTAGGTAACGGAATTTTGTGATATAATTTTGTTAAGGAGAAATAAGGCTACTACCACTTAGGTTGGTACGTATCACTTGGATTGAGTTTGGTAATTTTGTGATATAATAATAATTTGGTTAAGGTATATATGTATGTATTATATATATATGTATATATACCTATATATATTCTCTCTTTGTAATTGGCGCAGTATTAAAAGATTTCACATAATTTTTCTTAAATAAATACCACTTGTTATTTAAGTTTTTTTAGGTAGATATCACTTGGATTGAATAAAGTAACAATTTTGTAATATAATAATTTTGTTAAGAAAAATTAAAGCTACTACCACCTAGGTTAGAATAGATTTTATTTATTTTTTAATTTAAAATTAATAATACCATATACCACTTAGTTTTTTTTTCGAGGTAGCAACCACGCGTGTACTTGGCGCCTTTTTTTTACCTTTTTTGAAAAAGGTAATTTTGAACTGATATCATGCATTTTGTAGTGTTACACATCCTCTTCTAAAAAGAGCATGTCGTCGATACTCTAATCTATCGAAATAATATTCGTTATTCGAGTACCAGTAATATTTAATAAGTTTTCGATTGCTTCCGTTTTATAAAAAGAAATTGCGCAAGCATCTCCGGTAAAACCTTGCAAAAAATTTTTTTAAAAATATTTTTACGATTTTTTGTTACTGACAATGGGTTATCGTAGATTAAAATAAAAAATGAGGATTTTTACTTTGATTGCTCATAACTCTCTTAAAATCGCAATTCAAAAAACAGATTCTTAAAGCTGAAACTTTGCTTTATTGAACGGTATAATTGCCAAATTTTTTAAAATAACATGTAGGGTAGACCGGGGCACGTTGTCACACATTTGTTTTAATATTTTTTGTATTTTTTACATTCAATATTTGAGAGTACTGTGATATGCCAAAATTTCGAGTGAACCCTCAGCTTCAATTGGACAGTATCGAATTTGTGTGATTGTTACTTTACAGTTGTTACATAACAATAAATAACGACAGGTCGCTTGTGACAAAGTGCCGGTCACGGGGCACGTTGTCACATCAAATGTAATTGCATGTAAAATGTTATCCAAACTGTATTCAACGTAAATATCAATATATTATAGTGCGCTGCAATGTAAAAAAGTAAAATCCTTCACAGAAACATTTATTTTATTTCAAAAAAGTACAAAAAGCACGAAGTTTTCGTCTTAACCTAAATACAAGAATTCCACTCGAATGCGCAACTTATTGATACACATTTTTTTTTATAATCATATCGGTGATTAAACATAAAATATTTTTACCCGTTATCGTCATCCGACGATTCGCAATAGTTGGTTTCATTCGTGACAACGTGTCCCGAGGCCATTTTTTTACTCCAAACAGTCTCATGGCACGTTTGATTTTTTTTTGGAGTTATCCCTCGGTTGAGGGAAAATTGGTGCCTTCAGTCCCTCCCTGGAACTATATAGCACATCGGTACTTGAACTGCTCGCATATAATATCTATATTATCCTTCCTATTCTTTTGATGTAGTTGTATATGCTTCTCATTGTCGTCCATTCCTTTCTTCTTATTATTCTTGTCATGTCGATTTCCTCTCTCATTTCTTTGGCCCTGAGCTCTCTATCCAGCCCAGATAGCAATGCCTGATGATCAGATTTCATCACGTCATGATCTTCTGATATTGATTGAAATGTGATGTATGTCTTGTGATCATATTGTGATGATACACATCATGAGTACAAGTTAACATGTATATGAGGAAATATATGAGCTCAGATATTCACGTTACTTAGCCAACTCATGATAATCACATGCTGACCCTGGTGGAAATAATTTTACAACAATTACCGCGAGCGCTAGTACCGCACGCTGCCGCGACGCGGCTATACCACGCGTCACTTTCTCGTAATAAAAAATCATCACGCACTAGTATAAGAGGCGAGCTTGTGAGAAGCCTAATTACAATGTTCTTTGCTGCAGATCAGCTTGTGATACCTTTGGTAATTTTTGGATAAATTGTTGGATACGTCTTACTTATTTATTTATGTTTTTAAATAATTTTATTAAGTATGAAATATTTAAAATTGTTGTCATTTCTTGAGTTTTATATGCACACAATATGCAGTATTTCATTGAACATTTATGTGTTCATTATGTCACTATTTTGTAAATTTTTATAGATTTCATAACATTTCTGCATTCTGAGCAACATATGAGCCCGCATCTGTGTCTATTCTTGCATTCATGTTTTTAATAAACGTGAGTACAATATGTACTCAGAACGAACACATTTTGCTATCTGGGAGTCATGGTCTCTCCCTCTTCATGGTCTCTCCCTCTCCTCATCGTACATACTGCATCTCCATATCACGTGATCAATACTTTCGCACTCGTTACCACATTCGCATCTGGCGTCCTCTATATACCCCTTTCTTGCTAATGATTCATTAACGTTGTAATGGTTACTTCTCAGTCAATTAATTAATGTTATGTAGTATCTTTCCTCATTCATTTTATGGAACCATCCCAGCAAACAAAAAAAGATTGAAAAGAATTAAAACGGGATTGCCAGGAATTCAATTAAGGACTTTCCGAATTCCATTTTGTCCAAAAAAAGGGACTGAAATAGTTTCAATATCATGGAATTCCTTATTTTGGAAAGAATTTGTTTTTTTTTAATCTCATCCAATTCCGACACAAAAACGTAATGAAATGAATACCACTGAATGCCAGGTTAAGGATTGAAAAGTTTCGTCATGAATTTCATTGAATACCATTGATTCCGTTAACGAAATGAATACCACTGAATGCCAAACTAGGAATTAAAAATTTCCGTATTGAATTCCATTGAATTCCGTCTATTCTGACAATAAAATAAATACCATTGAATGCCAGGATAGGGATTGAAAAATGTCCGTGTTGAACTCTGTGGCGGTACGCGCCACCAATAGTACACACTTGCGCGGTATCTGCATTACCGGCAGTTTGCGTCGACGCCGCTAGGCGTCGCATCGCCGGGGCATCTTCTCGAGTTCAAAGTTTCGTCTCGACCGCTATGTAAAGGGACCCCCTACGGGGCCTGACAGATCTTACAAATCTCATTTTCGGGCTAATTGCCCGTCGGCAGTAGTGTAATGCCCTTAGGCATACACAAAAGCTCACCGACGAACAACGGCGCTTGGTCGCCCAACGGAGGCGCGAAACGCCTGCCAACCAACCAAAGGCGCTTGATACCGCCTCAGATACTATAAAGTATATTAATTATATAGTAAATAAAAAATAAACGTTTATCTGAAAGCATTGAAATTTATTATCCTTTCCTATTTTCATAAAATTGTGTGTGTGTGTGTGTGTGTGTGTGTTTGGTCATTACGGGAGGAATTTAAAACAATTTCCTAAACCATCTAATGCCATGCAATTCCATAATCTTTACGGATTTCATAGGATTGGATAGAATTGAAAATTTCTTTTTTGGATTTTATGGGATTGGACCATCTCATTTCGAATCCTATCTAATTTCATCTAATTCCGCCAAAAAAGGGATTCAAAGGTATTAAAAAATTTTAATATTTTTTAATCCTTTTGCGTTTGCTGGGCGGCTTTAATACATCATCGTTTGCATATATCACTGAAAGAGTAATTTAGTATAAAATTATTATAAAGTTGATAGACGTAACAAACAATCAGTATAAACAAGACCAAAACTGACTATTTATTTCTAGATTTTTTTCACATATATATATGTGCTATCACACTCCAAAGTACATAAATATATATATTATTCTAATCATATTTTATGTATGAACAGGGCAATGAATATATCTTAACATACAAGATCAATTGTATCAAATTCAAGAAACCACCATTTGAAAAATTTGACCCTGGCTAATTGTAAGATAAACATCAGTGAACAATATATTATAAGGAAAATTCTGTACAAGATACTAAGATTGGAGAACATCTTCCTTTAACTTCTATTTCTTACTTTTGAGGAAATCCTAAAAGATGACCAAGAAGCTTTTACGCAAGTCGTAAGTAAAACTGCTTATTATTATTAAATTATAACCTTTCTCTTATCTAAACTATATTTAATTCTTTTTGTTTTAAAGACTTTTAAACAACAATCTCTTGTAATACAGAAAAAGACTTGGAACACTATAATGGAATCCCAGTAAGCAAAAAACCATTATTACAATGTTATTGCAACGATATTCTAGAACTTGTAATGTTGTTAAATATGTAGTTCTTAATATTGTATAGAACATCATTATGAACATACTTTGACCACGATTCCGAAATTTCAGTAATGTTGAAATGGGAGTGCCATAACGTTGCAAATAACATTGCGTTAAGGTTTTTCTGTCATTCCTGTAATGTTTTTGAGATAAAAATTTAAACGTACTATCAACTTTATTACAATATTATATTAAGATTACCGTAATGTTAATTCTAACATTTATTTAAAGTTCTTATTGATGTTTTATTTCTATTACAGGCAACATGTTTTCAATAAATATGCAATAGTAGATATTTTATTAAATATCTCAATATTTATTGTCTAATTATTACTTAGATTGCTTTTTTATAGACCAGGCTTGGACAACTTTGAGCTCCAGAACCACGACACTTCTTTTCTATCCACGGAAAGTAGGGGAGTGTCGTGGTTCCGGAGCTCGAAGTTGCCCAGGCCTGTTATATACCAATCTGCATTAGGGAATAATTCACTAATTATCATAAAAAAGTTTTATTTATATAAAAATAATATATACCATATATTACAGTTTTCAGTTTATCACAATAATATCTTTGGTGAAGATCACTGATCCTAGCGTAAGGTTTTGGGATAAAACTCATCTTTCAAATAAAAAAATTTGTTACTATAATAATCACTCGCGCGGAGCCACGCAAGTAAGATAATATATTTATCACTTCCTGAAAAATAAAAGTAGAATTAAATTAGTGAAAAAGCTACTTATAAATTATAACGCGGCAAACTATAATAATTTTATTTTATAGAGAGTATATACCGAAATACATTACATTACCTTTTTAATGTTTTTTTTTCCTTACGGACGTTTGCGAATCTGAACCACTCCATTACAAAGTGTTGAAAATCTTTTTCTGTATTCCGAGGGAATATTGCTCTAAAAGCTTCTGAAATAAGAAAAATTCAATACAGTTTATTGTTAGATGAAAGAAATAAATAATGTTAATTTAACGGCAATTAAAACTTATGATAATTATTGAAATAACACAAAAGTTTCCGGAATAGTTTACATATATACTAAATCGATCAAAAATATTAGTTTATGGATATATATATTTTTCTTTTATTTCGTAAGAATTTTTAACGTGTATGTGTGTCCTGCTTTTTAACGATGATTGCTACAAAAAATAAGGAGACAATTTTAATAAATTCTGAGACATAAAACATAGCATTTAATACTGCAAGTAATATATACATTTCTTAAAAAATTACTTACTTTTAATGCTCAGAATTGTGTGTGCGTATCTCCAATAAATTTTATAATTATTTTTTTGGCCAGTTCATGAACACATGGAGGCTAAGTCATCAGAAAATGTAGCCCTCAAACTTCTTCTAATAAAATTCTTTTCATGTTTCCCTCCAATTAACATAACCTTGTTCACCTGAAAAATTTATACTTGTAATTCTATATAATGCAGTTTATTATTATAAATTGCAAGGAAAATAATTCAGAAGACTTTTAAAATATAATAACACATATTATAGGATATTATAGAACATATTAAAGGACATATATTATAGATATAAGTTTGTAAGAAAGAGTCAAAGTAACCATTTTTGGTTTTGAACGCATTGAGTGCTCCTCCTCAAGATTCTATTTGATCGTTTTATACATAAAATATACAGTTGAATACATTATGGAGATTAATACAAATACATTTTGATTTTTGAAGGACATACCATATTTGAAAACTTTACCGACAAAATTCTACCTTCTTTTAGAAAGTTTACATATATCGTATTGGTTGCATAGAATTACAAATGCTTTTACATAATAAAAATAGGTGTAAATCAATTAGAGAATTTGCTCAATATATTACAAAAATAATTTAAAAATTTCAAAGTAAAGATCTCGAGCTGTCAATGTAAATATTTATTTGTTACAAAAATTGTTTATATATTATCAATATGTTTGCTCCGTTAAAGAAAATTGTAAAAAAATATTACTGTACCATTTCCATTAAATTTAAAAGCTTAAAAATATATGAAAAGTTTGCAAGAAGATTTTTATATATAAATACTTAAGCTTTCTGCTAAATATGGTAAAACAAAGCAACACACATTTATATATAGAAGATCCATATATGCATAAAAGACTTGAACAATGTAGTATGAATGCGTTAGTACTTATTTGATATGACGTTTGGATGATTTTGTCTGTATGTTACGCCACAATCAAAATAACTATAAACATAGTAGATACAGATAATGCGCAATTACTATCTTTGCCGAGATCTTTGCTATAGGCACTACATTGAAAATAATACCAAAAAATCGGTAAAAATTACAAGTCCTGGTGATCTCTTTGTCGACTCTGATGGCGCAGAATAATCGAGTTTATTTTTTCCAACTGATTTATTACGATGAAAGATAATACAATAGGTCGCTGTTTTGCACGTTCAACGGAAAATAACGAAAAGTCTTGCAAGAAGAAGGCGGAAGTAACGTCCGGAAACATAAAAATATATAGAAGTGAAAGTCTCATGCTAGTGATTTATATTTCCACCAATCGTAAAAGGTTAATCTATATAGCGTGCGCGTATCATGTAAGACATAGAATAAGTTTGTAACTCTGAGTTTAGAACATAAACAGACTCTAAATTGCAAATATTATATTTACTACTCTTGGAGAGAAAGGGAGAAAAAGGGAGAGAGAGAGGGAGGGAGAGGAGATATCTCTTACAGTCTTTTCTCTTAATTCTTAAATTTTCAAAGTCTGCAGATTTTATTGTGTAAATATCTACTACGATTATGTAACTATTATACTAACCGGGAATGTTATTTGTAAATGTTTATAGAATTAATTATAATTGTGATAAGCAGCTTTACTTACAACTTGCATGAAAGCTTCTTGATCAGTTTTTAGCATATCTTCAAATTGTCAATGGAAGATAAAGGGATGAGATATTGTCCAATCTTTGTATCTTGTACAATACTTTTCTTAGAATATTGCTCAGCCTCGTGGCCCGAGTACATCAAGAATATGTTCGATCCTTATTAATACTTTGGTATATTTTTTTTCTTCTGCAAATTTCTCTCTTATATAGGTCGAAAAATAGATCTTGAATCACCAGCTACCTATTTACAGCACATTAGATAATTGCAGGGTTCTTATCATTAATATGCAAGATTTAGAATATAATAATTACTTACCCATATAAAAATGTTGTATACAATTAAAAGCTCTCGACAGCGCACAAGCGCACAAGCACAAACGTACGTATATATGACACACTCACACATCATACGTATATGTAAGATAATGCGACTACAGTCTCCAGAACTATTACTGCTTCCGATTGGCTGTCGCAACAAGCGTGCGTTTGCTCATGATCTCGACGCACTCAAACAGCTGAAAATAATCGGCAGTAAATTGCAAGAAAATAGCAAATAATTCCACTATATAGTTTCTACCGATACCCAAAGAACGTTATTTGTAGTTAACCTAAATTATAGGTTATATAGATCATCATATCAGCTACTATTCATAGCACATATGGTTAATTGAGTTCTTATTATTAATATACAACTTTTAGAATATAATAATTACTTATATATAAATATACTGTAAATAAAGAGCACTCCGCACTGCTCGATCCACACGTGTGTATACGCACTCACGCATCGTACGTAAATGTACGCATCATGGCTGTCGCGATGAGCGTTGGGCACAATATAAAACAATAACATTCTAACAACAGAAAATTAATATACTACCAACGTTATTTCCAAGTCCAAATTACAAGGAATTTTGAACTGTTGCATTAATCTCAAATAAATGTCAGAGTAACATTTGAAAAATATTTTCTGTAACGTTTTTAAAATATTTTAACAACATTCAGAAAAATCATATTACAAAATAATATTTTTTAAATATGTGTATAATATTATTAAAAAACGTTTAAAAAATACACATAAAGTCAATATTTTTAAACGTTAATTTAATGTTCCTTGCTTACTGGGATGGCTTAGATTTACAAACACCTGTAAACAAAGAAAAAAATCTTAAAAGGTAAAAAAGTAACATAATGTATTTTGATACACAAAATGAATCACTGAAGATGTTACTAATATTTCTGAAATTGAACAAGAAATTCTTATTTTCCAGCAACTGTTTGGTAAAGATCCGAAAAGATTAATAATCTGTTTAAAAGGAAAGAATAAGAATAGGGCTGACTTCAAAAACTTTTCCTTCCTAGGATCAATACTTTCTGAGATAATTGGATTAGATAATTAGCACATGAAATAAGACTTATTAATAAAACTTATATATGTATATGTGTATATATTTGTTCATATAAATAAAACTACTTTTTTTATGATAATTAGTGTAGTGCATATTTATTGAAAATAAATACTTATTGCCTGAAATAAAAACAAAATATTAATAACAACTTTAAATAAATGTTAGAATTAATATTACGGTAATCTTAATATAATATTGTAATAAAGTTGATAGTACGTTTAAATATTTATCTCAAAAACATTACAGAAATAATTGAAAAACCTTAGCGCAATGTTATTTGCAACGTTATGGCACTCCCATTTCAACATTACTGAAATTTCGGAATCGTGATCAAAGTATGTTCATAATGATGTTCTATACAACATTAAGAACTACATATTTAAGAACATTACAAGTTCTAGAATATCGTTGCAATAATATTGTAATAATGATTTTTTGCTTACTGGGAGAACTCACGCTCGTCCCTCTTATTTTCACTCTTTCATCTCTCCTTATCTTCTGCTTCATCAATCGTGCGATCCGTACAGTTTCATCTGTTTCTGTCCTTAACGGCTTTCGTCGTCTACTTTATCTGCTTTTTCTTCCGACTTTCTTACCAGCCATCCGAACATAAGGCCGAGGCCGAGGCCTCTCACCACTCTTTCGGAAATATTCATCATAGGTGTAATAAGCTTTAATAGGTCGATAATAGGTGTAATAAGCTTTAAGCTGTAAGAAACCAATCATAGTCGATTTCTTTTTATTATTCGACTGTAAACCCTGGTCCACAATAGGTGTAGTAAGCCTTAAGCCGTATTCCGCGTCCGTTGTCACGCTGATATTGTCCGATATTGTCGGCAATCCCGTAGACTTAATTGCCAGCGGTCCCACCGTTTACAGTCCGAGAACACCGGAGAATGTTATCGCTATATTAAAGAAGTATAACTTGTATCAGTCGCTAGAGGGTGATTTGAAGGCGGTTGTAACGCCCAAGGAGACGTTTAACGACAAACCGCTGTTAAATCTGGCTAAACAGTTCAGACACGTGACGAATATGATTCTAGGAAACAATAGGACGGCTCTTGAAGCTGCGAGCTTTGAAGCTTCGCGCAAGAAATTGACTCCGATAATATTAAGAAATGACGTTACAGGAAATGTACAGGACGTTAGTTCGGCGTGCGTTCACATAACGAGTCTGATATGTCTTGTTTTGTTAAATGAGCTGGGGGGAGAGGAATTTTATGACAGAGTACGGACTATGCCGATACTTTTGTTATCTATCGATAAAGTCAATGAAATCTTTCGTTGTATCGGCAATCTCGGTGGTATAGTTTTAATCGGGGGAGGAGAACCCACGGTTGTAGTGACGGGTAAAGGAAAAGGCGGTAGAAATCAGGAGCTAGCTTTACGCTTTTCACTAGATTGGTTGGCAAAGATCAAAAGTTATCCGCGACTCGCTGAATACGATGTGATGATGCTCAGTGCAGGTACTGATGGTCAGGATGGTCCTACTGACACAGCAGGTGCATTTGGTTATCCCGCTATTGCGCTTGTGATGCATGATTTTTACGCAAAAATTAAATCCATGATTACTAAAGAGGATGCACAAGCTGAGCGGGAGATGACGGACAGAAAAACCCTGACACAGGATTCGTGCGACCGACAAATCAGTAGATTTATAATAAAATCCAACGTTGAACCAAAGAGACGAGAGTCCAGTAGTAGTTTAAAAGAGTTCTCCTCGAGAAGATGTTGATGAACGTATCAATAATTTAATATTAAAGACAATGGAGGTGGAACGAACGCATGTTACCTGAGAATGTTTTAAAAGAAAACGACACGTACAATTTCTACTCGCGCTTCAAGAAGGGAGCGGATTTAATAAAGAAAAGTCAGCTTTACGCAGGAATTCTGTCAAAAAATCTACACAAAGTGCCTACTACTGCTCTGATTATCTGTTTTATAACTTCCCCGGTCAACTGCATGAATAAAACAGTTGGCCAGTGAAGTCATGAAACAGACAATATAGATAACTCTCCATTAGACATCTCGTTAAATCCATAAGAACAAAGGCAAGTTTTTGACTCCAACTGATATGTCTTGACCGTTGTCACGCTAATATTGTGAATATATCTATGAAAAATCCTACATTATTACATAATTATGTTATATAAAATAAATTATACGTTTTTAACGATATTCCTTTGGAAAAAAATAGATAATTCACATTGTAAATGCTGAATATTTTTAAATATATACATATAGAATCTTTTTCAATTATATCCGTATATCAAAGGCACTGCTTAAAAATAAATCTTTTAATTTATAATGTTTACTACGTAACACCCATTACATAACACGCTTGAAGATATGACAATATATATTCTCTTTACATACATAGAGATATCTACAGAGATCGTATAATATGTTTATACATATACATATATTATTATATTATTTGTTGAGTGTATCAACGTTTCTTCTCTTATGATAAAGAATTATAAAACTAATTTTTCATAAAGGAATATATAACTCATAATAACATTTATACAACTAGACACGATACAACTTTGGTTATCTAACACTTTCCATCCTAGTATTTTTATTTCATAAATATATCTTATTTTTCTTCGAAGTTGTTAATTATTTCGATAGATACAGAATTACTTTTACAGAGATATTACTTTAAAAAGCTTCTTAAAATATAATTTGCTTGGAACGGGAGGAAAACATTGAGGAACATACAAGGTGTGTAAAAAAATAGTATTTATAAATATTATGAATTTTTATTCGAAATTTTTTAATTCCGATCTATAATAGGTGTAATAAGCTTTAAGCTCTGTTATCATCTCGCCCATCTTGCTTTGGACATGACGAGATCTATGGCTGTCAGGATGCTTGTCTTTCATCCAATCTTAAAATGCTTTTAGTCTCTTAAATTTTCTAGATCAAATAAGCCACAATCCTGTAATATCTCTTTTATTATATTGAAGGGATCTCTTTTTCCGATCTTTTTTCATCTCGCTGTAGTTTTGGCCACGTCGCTTCGTATCTCCAATGGCTTCTTTCTTCTTCTTCTCCTCCTCTTTTTCTCCTTTCTCTTCTTCTCTTTCTTCATCCTAAAGCCCTTTTAGTTGTGTTTCTTTCAGCGCATGCTTATCATCAAGCGTGTAATCTTCGTAAAGTGTAATTATTATATTATTTTTTAACTCTTATGCTATTAATTCTGATATTGATTACAGTGCATCAAAAAATAAAAATAAAAATAAACTATTAAAAACAAAACACCGAAAGCAAAAATTTACGAAAAAAATGGGTTTCTGATCCAGAATTGAGTGCTTGGTTAAGTCATGATCAGAACAATGAATATAGAGCAAAATGCATATATTGCAACTATTCAATGAGTTCAGATATAATATGGTTATTAAACGACATGGGAAAAGTATAAAACATAAAGAGAAAATGCAAGATGCAACAGTAAAACAACAGTCTATTTCACGCTTTACCAATAAAAACCAATCTATATCTAAAGTTACAACTGAAATAAAATTGGTTGGATTTTTAGTGGAACATAATCTGTCATTCCGTTTGACTGATCCTTTTGTAGATCTATTAAAAAATATTTGTCCTGATTATCCAGTGATACAAAGTATTGCCATGAAGAGGACAAAGGCAACTAATATTGCAGTACATGTTATCGATGCTTCTCATAAGGAGAAACTGGCTGAGATATTAAGAAACAATAAATTTAGTCTTCTTACAGATGAATCAACTGACATATCTTGCATTAAAACCGCTTGTGTAGTAGTGAGATATAATGATACTAATAAGAAAAAAATTGTCAGTGAATTTTGGGAGCTATATAAAATTTATGATTCAAGCAATGCTAACGGAGGTGCAATAGCAGAAAATTTATTCAACGGCATAATAAAGTGTCTTGAAAATTATTCAATACCTCTTTCAAATATAATTGGATTTGCTGCAGATGGATGCAGTACAATGATGGGTCAACATAATTCTGTAGCTAGTAGATTTAAAGAAAAATGTCCTAATATATTTATTTTAAAATGTGTATGTCATTCGGCTGCTTTATGCGCAAGTGAAGCTTGCAAAACTTTTCCCAGATCAATTGAAGATTTGGCAAAAAATATATATAATTTCTTTAAATTAAGTGCAAAAAGGCAATGTCAATTTCGCCAATTTCAAGAAGTTGCTAATGTAGCACCACATAAGATATTACATCCATCTCAAACACGCTGGCTTTCTTTAATAATGGTTATAGAACGCATTATCGAACAATGGGAAGCTTTGAGCTTGTTCTTCATCGATAGATGGTTTATTGAACGATTACAAGCCGCAGAACAAATTTCTAATAAACTTAACAATTCAGTATCAAAATTATATTTTTTCTTCCTTGAGTGGATCTTACCAAAGTTTACGGATTTCAATCGTTTTTTTCAAACTGATTCGGTGGTCATCACTGAACTTCATGACAAAATAGTAAATATGTATTAA